TCCCTCCACCCAGTTCATTGGCAAGTTGAAAAGCAATAAGTCATAGGAAGCTTAAGCATTTTTCAATCTTGATAGACACCTCCTTTAGCAGCAATGGCAAACCTTTTTTGGCTTGCGTGCCATAAACAGGGGAGGGCCGGCGGAGTCGTGCGTAGGCATGCTGCACCCATAATGCAATACGCAACCCCCCAGCACACAGATGCGCATGACAGGTGCTCCCCCATTTTTTGCATGCTTTTTTCACTCTCCCCAGGCTCCAGAGGCTTTATAGGAGCCTGGGAGAGCGAAAACAGCCCCCCTGCCCCCTGGAGGCCCTCTGGAGGCTTCAGGAGCTTCCCTGAAGCCTCTGGAGGGCAAAAAATGACCCTATGAGCAAACTGGAAGTCATTTCTGGGTTCCTTGTAGGGCCATTTTTAGTCCTCCGGAGTCTTCAGGGAAGCCTTTGGAAGGCCCCTGAAGGCTCTGGAGGACTTAAACCGGCCCTACGAGCAAACCGGAAGTCCGTTCCCAAACTTCCAGTTTGCCTTTAGGGCCAGTTTTTTGTGCTTCTGAAGCCTCCAGGGGAGGGGAGGGAGGCTGTTTTCTCCCTCCCCAGGCTCCTATAAAGCCTCTGGAGCCTGGGGAGGGCAAACAATGGCTTTAAAAAAAGGCTAACTAAATGCTATCAGGAGAATATCTAAGAGCATGTGGTCTGTGCATATGTGCTTAGGAAGAGTGGCAGGAGGAAGTAACCTCAGATTAACAATCTCTGGAACAAAGAATAGATGGAATGGTAGACAACAATAGGTTCCAGAGAGAATCCTTAACTATGTACACTTACTGTTATTTTGGGGCCATGAAGTGTTGAAGAATCAGTGTCATCGGATTTGACTCCCCAATACCCCTATGTCTACCAATCTACAACTCCCACGTGGTAATTTTTGAAGAGTTCTCTGTTGATCTCTGGGGAAAGACTTAGTAAGTGGATCTGTCAGCAATGTATTGATTGGGGGATCTGATCTGATTTGTATTCCACTGCAACAAAATGACTGCTGTTTAAACATTTCTTTGGGTTTCAAATCAGCAACCTGTGTCTTTAATTGTGCATCTCTTTTGAAGGGTGGTGATTGAATTCGAGGAATTCTACCTGAGCATCTGTGCATGGTGGAATTTGGTTTTCATGTGCTTCAGTCATCTTTTGTGCAGCCTTTTTCCATTTGATCCTCCTCCTGATAGGCTGTAGTTAGCTAGATGTTAGACTTTGCCTATTCCTGTATTTTGTTTCCTATAAATAATCTCCTTTCTGTTAGGGCTTATAAAACCTGTTCATTAATTATTGTTTAGTTCATAGCCTGACTTTCAACAGTGCTTAAATGCATGCACAGAATGGTTTAACCTTGAACAAATAGAACTTCTACGCTAGCGCTATGCCATTGATTTCCTTAATAATATTTATACTGTACATACCCAGTTAGAACATTGTTGTGCAGGTAAATACTACTACAATGTATAGATGCATTCTCAAATGTTTTTCAAGAGAGAGAAAGCTTTAATTATTTTTCTTAAAATATTGAAAATATGGCTGCTAGAAAATGCATATGCAAGCAGTCCTCACCTTATATCCACAACTGAGCCCAAAATTTCTGTTGCTAAGTGAGACATTTGTTAAGTGAATTTTGTCCCATTCTAAGACCTTTCTTGCCACAATTGTTAAGGGAACCACTGCAGCTGCTAAGTTAGTTACATGGTTGTTAAGTGAATCTATCTTTCCCATTGACTTTGCTGATCAGAAGGCCGCAAGAGGTGATGACATAATCCTGAGACACTGCAACCCTCATAAATATGAGTTAATTGCCAAGTTTCTGAATTTTCATTATCATGGGGATGCTGCAATGGTCATAAGCTTGAAAAATGGTCACAACTCACTTTTTTTAGTGCTGTTGTAACTTCAAATAGTCACTAAACGAACTGTTGTAAATCAAGGATTACATTTATAGCTTGTATAGCTATTTCAATTTTCAACTGCATATCTGATTTATTTAATAAAAGTTTTATTCTGAGTAACATGCAGAATAAGAAGAAAAGAACTTATTAGGGGTCTTAAATACGTTTACAAGAAGAGAGAAAATGGGATTGGTTACCCATAATTCAGACATGCTTACAAAATCGAAGACCTGATTTTAATAATACAGTAATATAAATATGAATAGTGCTGATATTGTACTAATCTGGCAGTTTGTTTATGGGCATTGTAGTCGTGCTTCCCAAAATGATTTGGAATGAATAGCTTGAACTCTTAAAATTAACAGAGCAGCATAGATAATTGTAAAAAGCAACAACTTCTTGATTTGCTTAAATTGAAAAGAATATATTTCCCATGCTGAGAGCCAGTTTGGTCTAGTGATCAAGGCACCAGGTTTGATCAGGAGACTGAGAGTTCTAGTCCTGTTTTAGACATGAAAGCTGGTGGGTGACTTTGGGCTTGGCCATTCTCTCCCAGCCTCCAATGTCAGTGATAAGCTAGTTGGTCCATTTCTGTTAATATTTGGTTGACAGTAGGAGAAAAAATATAGTTTCATTCTATGGGACTCTTAATCACAAAATAAAACAAAGATACAGGTACTCTGGCAGTAAGCAACATATAGTCCTTCCATGATGTTCCTTTGCATACGTTGGTTGTTTGGATGGATGTCAGTTCATATTTAATATGCAATATAATCTCTAAATTTCTCTTTGATTTACTGCTTCCAAGTTACTTTTCTGTTTGCTTTTTTAATGGTGTTCATACTGTGTTTAACTTGTTCTTTCTCTCTCTCTCTCTGGGCAAAGCTGATAGCTTCAAATAGAAAATACCAAGTTTATATAAACTCATTACTGTTACTTCATATAAATGTATAAATAATTGATTTGGCAAGTTGTAATGCAAAGGCATTTCAACCTTAAAATCAGCCTTTTGAACTTTCAAAAAACAGCCAGGAGGGCTTCCACAGCTTTCAGGAGATAGTTCAAGTTTTTCTTCTCAAATTTCCACACAAGTTTTGATTTCTAGAAATAAAAACACAGAAACACAGAGAAACAGAATGCTATATTTTCTCGAAATCTGGCTCTGACCAACAAAAAGAAACACAGGTCAGATATTTTCTTTTTAATTGTCATGATGAACTTTAACAATCATATTTTGGTTTAAAGGCAATTTAACCTCATGACAATTAGTCAAAAGTAATTACATTCCACTTAGCTTTCTTATTGCTACATCTTACTAATATTCAGATAACCCCAAAATGAAGGGGCAGTATTTATCTGCCACTTCTTTCCTTGTTCATTCCCTCAATCTTTTATTTCCTGCTATGTTTCTAATTGATTATCAAATGTACACAAAAGACTGTATCTTGAGACATGGAAAATAGAAATCACTGGGTTTTCAGCTGTGCTCCTGCATATGGTGTTCATATTGTGCATTCTCTATACGTGGATGATTAATCCTAGCTTTGGCTATTGATTGGAATAAAGAAATTCAGAATTTCAGTTCTTCTTTGGGATCAATTTGAGAGTTATTATGTCTCTGTGCATGGCTTATTCACTATCTGTACTTAATTGACTCCTTTCCCTCCCATTTCCTCCCCTCTCCTCTCTTCCATTGGAGGGTTCAGTATATAGCATTATCATTTGTGAGTGGTACTGTTTATAACCTTAATTTTTCCTCCCTCCCCTATTATCATCATCTTCATCATTGTTGTCATTATTATTATCACTATCATTATCATTATTATCATTATTCAATTTTGGTGTCACCCAACTCCAGAGTAACAACTACCATTATTTACAATTTTATATAATTATACAGTATACATCTATATTTTTATTCTGTTCTTTAGTTTAGCATAGTAAAAGTATACACCATGTAACTCTGTCAAATGTCAAATGGACTTGGATCACTTAAACCCACATGGCAGTGAGTCTTCAGTCTGATAACAGGCTATGTTTTCTGTACTGTACAATAACATCTGGGAGGGGGGAGCATTCCAAATCACTATAAATATTGGCAACAATGGGCAAAGTATTTATTGCCCATACTCCACCTTCCTTTGAGAGAATTCTCAACAGCACAAATAAAAAGCATGACACTAAAGAAAAAAAGGTGTCTAAAGTAGTGCTTGTGTGTCAGCTCTCTGGAATTCTGTGCTGATAAAATGAAAGCACCAGGAGGCTGTTACCCACCAAAAGTTGGAAATAAAACTTGCTTCCTTTGCCAAATGTTTCCCTCAAGAAAATAGAGTTGAAATTTAATAGTGAGCACTGATCAATGTTTAAGCTGGAATTAAGGAGGAAATGCAACTCAGCAAGATACATGGATAGCTGGAATGAATATTACACCAGAATAAATATAATCCATGACATTCTTATGTCTATTCCACTTTACATACAGGCTGAAAGGAAGCTTTTTCTTGTTTTAAAGACAAGCTAATCTTCACGCGTGATGGTCTGGTCTTAAGCATGTATATTACTTTTGAATAACTTAAATTCAATAAGCGCATTGCTCTGGCCTGACTGTTTAAAAATGTATTATACTAATTTCCATTTCTCTGTATTCGGATGCATATTCTTAGAGCTCTCCTGTTTCAACGGTCCTCATCTTCCAGAGGATGCTTTTTTCCCCTCAAGAATTGAAGAGTGAGCTTTTTGAAAATTCCTGCTTAGAATGTCTTGGCAAACATGGCTCTGCCTATTGTAGCTACAACTGCTCTAATTCCTGAAATCGTTCACCTATCTGTCAATGACATCACAGCAGATGGGTGGTTGACTTGGTGCAGACTTAAAACTCTTAGCATGCTGCTTTAAACAGGCAGGCCACGCTGAGCTGGGACGTCGCCTGCCTGTGCTCTGTGCAGACTGTAGGTGGCGTTGTCGCTAAGCACCGTCTCTTTTTTTCTCTTTGCTAGCGCTTGTGGCTGCCTTGGGCGACAGCAGGTGGTGCCAGATCCCGCACGGAAGCCGCCGCCCCAGCTTGGGAGTGTTTGCCTGCCGCAGACTCGAGCGGCTGTCTCTGCGCTCACTCCTTGATCCTCTTTCAGTAGCGTTTGGAACCAGCCGGCTGAGGAACGAGGCGCTGTCCTTTCAGCACCACCGGGGGGTTTAAAAAGCAGCTTTTTTTTTTTTTTTGGCGCAATCCGTCGCGAACTTCCTTCCAAGAGCGAGGTGTGCCCTGCAGTAAGTAGATAGTGGGAGGATGATGGGGGTGGGGGGCGGGAGGAGGATTTCTCCCCCCCGTGATCGTCTGATTCTGAGGCATGTATTTGTGACCCGCCCCTGATTACTGGTGCAGATGCATCAGGGCTAAGGAAAAAAAAAACGAGAAGGAAAAGGGGCTCTCGAATATATTTGACACTGTGTTTCATTTGTTAATTTCTTCACAGATTATAATTCATTCTGGAATATGTCATTTGCCAAAGAAGAGGTGGTTGTTAAAGAATGATTGTTATTAAGCATCCCTTTTGAAAGGTTTTGTGTAGTTGCTATGGTTTTAAAAAATAGATGTAATATACAGATAAAAACCTGGGCCAAATGCATCCCTTGTTTAGATATTTTCTGTTAGCAACAAAGGAGCCAAGCTAGGTTCACTCCTATAACCCGATCTTGATATAAAACAATCCTTGTCTGGAACTAAACCAACAGAAGCTTAGCTGAACTACCTTTTGGGGTGGTTTAGACCTGATGATACATTCTTTAAAGCAAGAAATAAAGGTAAAATGCTTCCCCCTCTCCCCCCTCCCTCTTTTCCTCCCTTCCAATTTAACAGAGATATGCAAGTGGGAACCATATGACCTGCAGGGTGATTGAAATATGGCAAGCTGGCATATTCTCCCCTTAATTTCCCCTCCTTTCTGTCCCATCCTCCTTTTTGCCCCTTTAATACTGATCACCTCAATATGTTTTAGGTCTGGAAAGTGAGATCTAAGGATGGTGAAGCTGGGAAGCAATTTGAATGAAAAGAACAAGCAGCAGCCGTCCAATGAGGATGGTTTTCAGACGGTTCCTTTGATAACACCCTTGGAAGTCAATCACTTACAGTTCCCAGCTCCAGAAAAGGTAAAAGGAAAACAAAACAAAATCTAAAGGAGAGGGGCGGGGGGGGGGGAAGAATACACACTATAGGCTTTCTAACTATTCTGTTCTATCGCCTTTCAGAAGCATAGAAAAGACCCATTGTTCCCTTTAAAGGGGTTGACTTTTGCTGTGTGCACCTGTCTGTTTTCAAAAACGGAGCAGACCAGCATATAATAGAAATGGATCATGGCTCAAGCCTGAAAAATGGCAGAGTCTGTTCATCCTTTTATCCAATAAAACAGAGAGGGGGAAAATACCTTTATTAGAACAATTACAATGAATTTGGGTATTTTAAAATCAGCTTTAAAGCTGCAATCCCAGTTGTTTATCTGACATGAATGTAACCTGCTGCAATGAATTCTTTTGACAAAGTGTTGCAGGGAGATGTTTCATGCCTACATTCCTGTATCCCTATTCCTCTATTAGTTTGTGGGAAGAGAACACTTTTGTCAAGCAAGTCAAAGCTTAGATTTTGAATAGGATCTTCAAAAGCCAGTATCATCGATTTACTTCTTACTGAGCCATTATTTTAATACAGTCTGTTGTCTAATCTGTACACATTATCCTATTCTTTAGTATTATTATTGGGGGAGACAATGTAAGGTTATAAATGTGTCTCAAATTCATTTAATCTGTCTTTTATGTGGGTAGAAAATGACTGCAGTGCATCTGTCTATTCGGTTCTCAACCCCAAAACATGTAGAAAACATACTATGTGGACTGTAGGCATGCACACAAAGGTGAAAAGAACAAATTAAACAAATTATGCTTAATCCATCTCAATAATGTCACTCTCCTTCCAAAACATTAAAAGTTATCTCTTTAATACATTATAATAAGTCATAATGTCTTTTCTTATCTAGAGGAATTCTACTAAGTAATTTAGTGATGCAGTGATTGAAAGATAAAATGATACAAAAGATTAACAATCCATAAAATTGCATTTCTGATTGCAAAGTAGTGTAATGTGAATCAGTTCTTAGAAGCAATGGGTTTGATGGAAATATTGTGATGATAATTTTTTTTGAAAAAAGATTTTTTTGAATCTTGAAATGTTTGTTTCTTTCCAATAATTTTAAAAAATGTGTTTATTTATTTATTTATCCTATTTATATGGATCTATCCAAGAGGCAGCAAACCAAAGTAGAATTACATTAAAACAAAACAAAACAAACAATCAAACACAACTAAATGGCATTGAGGCCCAATAAAAACCCAAAACTACAAAACACATATTGTAATGTCCTAGTCTCAAAGCCTGGAGGAAAAGTTAGGTCTTCGTGGCCTTCATGGCCTTGCCAAAGGCCAATAGAGAAGAGACTACCCATGCTTTTGGGGAGACTGTTCTAAACACTTCAAGAATAATAATCTTAAAAATATAGAAAAGAAAAATAACTCTGTCAATGATTGTTACTCTGGATTGTTATATAAAATTTACAGAATCGGGACAATGGGCTTCTCAGTACTTTGCTATGGAACACCTCCAGAAGTGTTCTGGTGCCTTTATATCCTGCTTGTGGGTTTCATGATTGGCTATAATGGAGGTAGAATATCCCACTAGATAAGCCTTATATCTGATTCAACAACACCTACTTTGTTTTAAACAAAATAAAAATTACGTTGAACTTAAAAAAGAATATTGTTTATTAGATACACAGAATTTCTAATAAAACAGATGTACGCTCTCGATCATATTTTCCTTGGGTCATGGAGATGTGGGCCTATATTCTTTTTCAACCACACAATCAATTTAGACAAATATTTATCAGTTTCAAGTTGGAATAAAGGTGATATGAGCTTCATTTTATTTAGGCAAGGAACTTAGTGCACATGGATGAATAGCTGGGGCAATCAGGTTATAAGCAATGCAATACAAAATAGATTATGTGGCTGTCAGATCTGGCAGACAAGGGCTTAAGCAGATCTTGAAAAACCTTGAAAAAATATGTGGCAGCTGCTTTATCTGGGGATGTAGATGTTTTGGATAATAATTTCTACAATATCTTGATGTTGCTCATAATTGAGGATTTTAGAGTGTCAAATATTTGGTGAACTACAGATTATTTGAGCTTGTCTGGGATGACATAACAATATCAGATGTGTTGAATTTATATTTTACCAACAAAGAAATAAAGAGAGACTAATATAGATCTATTTCAAGTTATTTAGCTCTTATCAGCTAGCCATACTCTTTCTGGGGTTCGAACCCAGGGTACTTCAAACCTGGAACAATATAAGGTGTTACACAGTCACTATCATTTTTGTTTCCTTTACCCAGACTTCCATTACAGCACAGTATTTAAGCCAAGGACTGGGACTTTGCTTACTTATGATGAATAAAGACATGAGCAAAACTGAATTATGCTGTCATTTCCCAACTGTAGCCTTGTGAATGTGTCAGATTCTGTTGGGCCTTTGGTCAAGACTTGTAAGTCATATTATCTCGGGAAGGCAGGAAGTTAACTGAGAAATACATAGAAGCAAATACCACAATGTATACAATTATTGTATTTTTTTAAATCAACTCTTTCTATAGGAGAGGTACAATTTTGGTAGATGTTCCAGGAAAAGGGCCTTGTAGAATATTAGGAAATGATTACAAATCATCAAATTTACCTCACAATATTTTTGTAAGAATCAAGCAAGCTCAATTCCCTATATAGAAGCTTTGGAAATTAACAGTAATTTCCTACATGCAGTGCAGATGATTATTTCCCCTGCCCCAAAACAATAGTTAAAATTAGGTTACTCACTCTTTGGCTATCTTCAGAGCATAAAAACATTTCCATATGCAAAGATAACTGATAAAAATACTGGCACAGCATAAACTATATATACATAATAATTTGGTATCAGATGATAACTAACCTGATATAGAAGGAACTTATATTTACCTGTACATTTACTGTGCACCTTGACTTATATCTGCAACTTTAACATTTCAATTTTATATTTTTATATTTTTATATTTAAGATCAAATTAGGCCTTTTCTAAGAAGTTTTTAGTGAAAGAAAGCTCACTGATGGCACTAGAAACAAAAATAAAGTATTGTTATGTTATAATCTAAAAAAACAACAAATGGGAGGAAAGTTTATTCTGAATACTTTATTTAGGGTCTTGGGAAACTCAATAACTTTCTCAAAATCATTAAAAAATTGCCATTGCCAATTCTTCTCATAGTATCTTTCCTTTCAATTCTTCTCATAGTATAGCTCATAGTATCTCTTTGAATATATATCTCTATACATATATGTAGAGTATTCCATCTAAGGTAATGCAAAAGTTTATTTTTTTTTTCATACTTTCTAAAACAACAATAGTGTGGATGGTGTCCTGCCTCTTAATGTAATATAACTAAAAAGGATTAAACTGATCCAAAACAACCAGGTCTTCTTCTTTGTTCCCAAGAGAATCTTAAAGATGGGGAGTTTAGATTGTGGCACTACAATAATCAGACTAACGTTCATGACTTTTGCCAAATCAAGAGTTACCTTGTAGATAGTGAGGCAACCACTGCTATGGTCTGGAAACAAATTTATTGCTATATCTGTGTTTTACTACTTAGAATCATATAGAAGAGAACCACCTCATTGCAGTGGTTAAAGGCATTGAACTAGAAATCAGGAGACTGTGAGTTCTAATCCTGCCTTGGCATAAAGTCAACTGGGTGATTTAGGGCCAGTCATTTTTTTTCTGGGCAATTTCAAAACCAAAACTGAAAAATGTTGCCAAGAAAACTACATGGCCTTGTCCATGTAATCATCAGAAATCAAGAGTGACTTGAAGGCACAAAGTCACCAGCATCATAGAGAATCAGAATCTAGCATAAGGAAAGGAATCAGATTTTGGGGTTTTTTTTTGGAAATGTTTGATAATATCTGTGAAGTGTCTGGTATGGCATAACAAATGGAAGTAGTTTAAATGACTCCATGCTTCCTTCAGGGCAACTCTATGGCTCAGTGAAGCTGCTCTTTTGCTTATAAAGCATTCCAGATTGAGTGCTTGTTATCCTCTATGAAAAAGGCTAGGTACGTCATGGAAAGGCCTTATCCAGAAACAGCCTAGGCTGCTTTGTGTTCAATGAACCAATAATAGGATATGACATAAGACCTTATCTAATGTCTCATCATCCCCCAATGTATTATTTTATCTGAGCACACTCAGAGTCCATTACTACATATAACCAAAAGCTATTTTGCAGCTCAAGTTCTGATCACTATCTATTTTTGTCTTTTAATTCTTTTAATCGACTCAAATGCCTATTTTGCAATTATGGGAGCTCTGAAGACTGCAGTGGCTGAGGATGCAAATTAGATAAAAACAGGTCATCATGAATATCCATAGGGGTCAAAAAGTCAGGATGGCAGTGTGACCATGCAATCAAAACCCTGATTATGTGTAAAAAATGCATTGCATGTACAAACAGATATAAAAAATAAAGGTGAAGTGGTAATTGGCAAAACACAGCCACATCTTGACTTTTTAAATCCTTCCCTATAGATTCCCCAACATATCACTAAATTTTTCCTGAGACGGGGCATTAGTTTATCTTCTTTGTTTTTCAAATAATAAGCCAAATTAAATAAATAAACCATATTTAGAGATTATAGAATAATGATATTTTATATCCCACTTCACACATGCCTCTATATCTCTATCTATCTCTATCTACCTATCTGTCTCTGTCTGTCTGTCTGTCTGTCTGTCTGTCTGTCTGTCTGTCTGTCTGTCTGTCTGTCTCTCTGTCTGTCTCTCTGTCTCTCTCTCTAACATCTCTCTCTCTGTATCTGTATCTGTATCTCTATCTATCTATCTCTTATCTCTTTCTCTTTCTATTTGTCTGTCTATCTATCTATCTATCTATCTATCTATCTATCTATCTATCTATCTATCTATCTATCTATCTATCTATCTATCTTGCTATGGTTCGAATAGAATATAATTCTTTATTCGCTAAGTGTGATTGGACACACAATAAATT